GAAAACTATCAAAGCCACTATTCTGATGATCCAGATCTGGACACAGAAAGCCAAACGCAACAGACAGATCAGTGAAGACTCTCAAACACCACACCCCTGAAAAACCAGTACAATGCAGTGTCCTGTCACCCGTGGAAAAGCTCTACTATCAAACTGCCACAATGCTGTACAACATCTCCTACAAAGCTAAATGGGAAGGAACAGCCTTCCAAAACCTGCAGAAAGGAGACTACACATTCTCAATGAAGAGTTAGATTTTTGTTCATTTTCCAAGGGTTGTTTTAAATTTTGTTGAAAAAAGATCATTTTAATATGGGGTTCTAAGTAACAACATACTCTTTGAAAAATAACTGTTTAGGGCAAAACAGTAAAAATCACAATATTTTTCTGGTATGCTTATTTTGAAGTATGTTTCTCACTTTATATATGACAACAATTATATATAACTGTGATTACAGTAAATGTCATGATGCCCAGTGAAAACTAGGCAGCTACCCGTTAACAAGTTGCTGACATTTCTTTTTACTGTTTTATTAAAAATTATGTTTGAATATCTTGAATGTTAATGTTTTGCTGTCTCCATAGTTCCCAACACTTTCCTGGTTTCCATACAGCTACTACATGTCAGGCAGTGGCTATCTCAGTGTAAACTGTCAGGTGCTGCCAGCAAGATATGTTATGCACACAAGAGAATACAAATGGTTTTCCTCATCCCATTTTTATAACAACAACCACCACCCTCTTACCATTCTCTGAAACAACATTCACAGCCATTGTTGTTATATCTTGAATGCAGGCAGCTTGAAATCCTGCAGCAGGAGGAGTGCTGTAGGTGCTCAGTCCAGTTGCTTTATTGATGTATATTGTTTTACCCGACGAAACATCAAAATCTTGCAGCCAGTCAGAACAACACAAATCATTCCTGGGATTTCCTGTGTTTGTGTTGTCTGCAGAGAATTCCAAGTTACTTAGGAAGGTTATATGGGGGAACTCAGTATTTTTCAAATTTTTTTCTGAGGATTCATCTAATGCACTTTTATCTTTACAGACTAAGTTAACACAATCCTTTTTAGCAGGTAATAATAAAACGCTGCTTGAAGAGACTGTGTACTCCCCTTCTATGCTGGTGAGTGATGATGGGCTGACAGTATTTTTCATGGACTCTGCTCTTGTATCATCTGATTGCCAGCATGTGTCCCCCTTGGAAATGCTGTAATTACATTCCCCCATTTTCTCCACTGAGGATTTATATGTTTGAGAAGCATTATATGAAAAATCATTACTTGAAGATTCAAAATCAAGAGGGTAGTCATCTTTTCTACTTGTATCTGTTTGTAATTGTTCACCCAGTTGTTCTACTTCTTTCTGGTCACTTTTCATTCTGAACAGTTTCGATGATAAAGATGCCAGAGATCTTCTACAAGTTGTATCTTTTTTACTAACCTGAGAGTAATCAGACAATGTCAAAGGACTCTGACTAAGGGCTTGTTTGTCCTGTGAAATTTCTCCACCAAAAATCTGGCTATTACTAGAATCTGTATCTTCCACAGCTGGAGCTTCACAAGCACTCAAGTTATCATGAGTGTCATTCTCATCCTTTGAAAAGTCACAATTAGCTTGTGAATTAAAACCCTGGAGACCAAATTCACTCTGTTCCGACAATGGTGTTGGTAGTGTACACTTGACTCTCCCATAATATCTCCTGAACTTTTCTAACGAACCCAGCTGTGTGGACAAGCTCAGCTTCTTAGAGGGCTGAGATCTTGGCAGAGCTATTTGTCTTCTAGTGCTTTTTATAACTTTATTGTGAGGAATAACTGAAGAAGTTGTCAGCGTCAATTCTGTAACATTCGATGTCTCATCATGTCTTTTACCGGTGGCAATAGGCATAGATATGCCCTCGCTCACCCGATTTGACAAAGTTCTGTTCTCTAAGCGCTCATTACCATCAGTCACACATACTTCCCTGGTGTAAGGGCATATATATTCTTTATTTGTATTACTGGAAATATCCTTAACATACGAAGACTGAATTGGAAAATTCACTTTGTGGCCAAAAATATCCTTGTCACTTACAGGACCAGGACTACCCTGCATGTATAATGCAAGATTTGTTTCTGTTTGTTCACATTCACATGGGTGCTCACTTTGCCTAACACATGTTATGAGGCCTGTAGAGCACAATTTTAACGGTACTGAACTATCAGCTCCTCCTCCAGCATCATCTATCACTTCATCTGTTTCCCTGTCTCCTCTTCTTGCATTACATGCTCTCATCAATGCACTCCACAAGACAGTTTCAGGTCCCATTGCTGTTTTGGTATGGTCTTCTCTCTCAGACGGTGACTGAATAACATCATTATTTAAGATATAGACCGTATTGCTTTTCTGCACCACTTTGCCTTGCTGGCTGCCCACATCTTTTGTGTAATTCTCTGTACAATGCTGCAGGTCACTGTAACCATTTATTTTTCTTATTTCTGATCTGGCCCCTCCATTGAAAGAGGAACAAAGATTTTCTGAAGGTTTCAGATGAGTATCAGACGCTTTTTGCGAACTGTTAGTGTCTTTTGGCTCCTGCTCTGAGATATTTGATATAGTGACATCAGAAGCTGTGTCATCTTTGCTGGGCAGTGGAATCTCCGCTTTATTGTTTCTACATGGATCAGATGGTTCAGTAGTCTTCTGACTTGGGGCAATTTCACTTTCCTGTGGATTTTTTTTTGACTCAGTAAGACTTGTAGACTTTTTTCCGGTAACAGATTTCCTTTTGACATCTTTTGATTGCAAGTTACACATTTCATAGGAATCTACAATTTCGTCACATGCTTTCTTAAAACTGTCTTGGATGCTCTTCTTGTCAGAGAGTGAGGGCTTTGGAACTGGAGCTTTATAGAAACAAAAGTCATTATCTTCATTAAATTCTCTGATGTCTTCACTACATGGTTCAATAAATAAATGTTCTCGTTTCAAAAATATTTTCACTCCTTCCTCTATGCAAGTTAGAAGAACATCCCAGTTCTGGAACTCAATCAGAGTCTTTGCAGGTTCCAGAGACACATCATAGTCGCTGTATGCACAGGTCACATTGAGAATAAAGATCCCATACAACTCTGGGCCACAACGATGGCGACCAGGACTTGAACTAGCCTGTCTGCTCATAGGGCCACTTTTTGCCTTGCAAATGACACTTTCTTTTCTTAATAAAAAATCAATTAGCTTATGTAGTCTTGTTTTTAAAACAAGCCTTCTATTCACATATAAGAACTGCATGTTCTTGTTGTAATGTCCTTCAGTACCAATATAACCACTTATCTCAAATCCCCCAGACTTATGATTTATTTCTCGTAACTTCTGGGATCTGCCCAGCCCATAAATTTGACAAAATCGAGAGTATACATCTCTTGTCTTAGGGAGCTGAAGCACCATAGAACAAGAAACATCATTCCTTAGAGAAAATGAAACAGAGGGATGCATCAGCGAAACAGCCTCTACTTTATGTCTCACTCTCTCAAATTCCAACACAGGATCCATACACTTTCTCCTCACTGGTAACTGATGGAACAGATTGCACACGGTGACTGTAGTTCCGCCACTTGGTCTGCTCAATTCACCTTCACAGACTTCTAGTGCTTGCCCATTGTGAAACAGTTTCACAAAAGTTTTTGCTGTCCTGCTGGTCTTAGATGAAACTTCCACTACGCTGGCCATGTTGGCTATGCTTGCCACAGCCTCCCCTCTGAAGCCATAGAACTTCAGGTTCTCCAAGTCTCCCACTGAGCTGCACTTGCTGGTGAAGTATCGCTTTCCCATTGTATTTAAGTCCTCTCTCCCCATCCCAGAGCCATTGTCCACCACCTGGACCTTAAAAGCTTCCAAATCCACCCTGATAGCTACACATGTTGCTTTGGCATCGATGCTATTGAGGACAAGCTCCTCAACACACTGCCCCAGTGAGTTGATAGTCACTCCAGAACGCAGCCTGGCTCGCACATCTTCCACCAAACATTTGATCATGTCAAAATCAGATAGAATAGAAACTTAAGAAACTGCAAGAAGCTCACTCATCCATGGTCCTTGAAGCAATTCCCTGGGTGGAGGAAAAAAAAGAAAAGAAAAAGAAATAAATATTAAAGGCCTGAAAAAAATTTATTTATTCCATTTACCCTCATAAACGTACTTCTGTCAGTTTTCCTGGTATTGAGAGGCTTTGTCTGTGATCATTTTCCTGCTCAGCCTTTAAGTACACAACATTTGTGCCTTCAGGGTAAATAGCCAGGATCTGAGCCTAGGCTCCTTACTAACAACATTATGTGACTATCAAACTTAACAAACCCAAACCACTCCAACCACGAGGCAAAACTCAAAGGACCTGCAAGCAAAAGGCTTGAGTTTCCATTTGTATCAAAAATACAGAGTAAGTATCACCAAGAACGGGACAGAGAGCTGCTTTCCTCTTGTCTTTACCTCAGTACATAAATTCACCATGCCTCATTCTGGCCAAAGAGCATCTGCTGCAATTTGTCTAAGAAAGGAATAAAGTGGGCTTGGGAATGGGCGTGGGATACCGGGTAAGCTCTTTAAGTGAAAGAGAAACCACTTTTTCCAGTCCTTGATGCCCACTAGTTTCTTGGTGGTATTCGGTGTGCACACAATTCTCCCTTGCACCCCTCAGGGCCGAGCTCCCCGCGCGGCTTCGCAAGTGCCGCTCACACTCTCAGGGGATCCGGTGCCCCCCGGGACAGGTACCCAGGGGCTCCCTGGCCCCAAGGGGCAGAGGAGGGCAGCGG